TGAAATGGGGCGAGGGCCTCGGGCGTGCGACTCACTCGTGCGTGCGACTCTCGTAAACAATCGCGACAACAAAGGCGACGACGATCGGAGGAAGTCCGTCGTCTCGTCTCAATTGAAGGAGGCGTAATCCCCCCGATTGGAGGGAATTGAATGCTCCATCTCGCCATCTCCTTTCCGGTTTCCCGAGGAAGTCCGACTTCCCACGTCTTTCGACCTCCGGTCATCTCGAAAACCCTGGAAGGACGCCCCGAGGATGACATCACGAATTTATTTTCCTGGGCCGGCAATTTCGTAAGTTAGACCGAGGATTCCTGGTTTCGGTTGTGCCAAGGAAAACCCAGCCAGAAAGTCGCTAACGAATGAAGCCCGTCACAATCAATCGTCGGTCACGGGAAGGAATAAATTGAGATGCCGATCCGATCGGCATCTCAATTTAGTTCTTGCATGGCACGATCATTAAAAGCGAACTTCCGAAGACGAGACGGCCGAGCGATGAAAAGAGCCCTCACGTATTAATCTTTTCATACAGGCCTTCCTACCTCCTAGTCCCTCATACAGGTGCCAATGAACTTCCCTTCGTTTTCAATGGTTCAGATCCTCGGCATGAATGGCTTTAATCCTTTCATCAGGGCCAGGCATGATTTCCCCATTCGGCCTTCCTCCCTACATCCTTAAATAAATAAAAAATGCTGACCTTCCATCCAATCCAGGCTTTTCACGGTCATGGGTGCTCATCCTCTTTATTTTTTTTTTGTCTGCTTCGTGGAAGCTCCTTTCGCGTTTCTGTTCCGAGGATGATGCATGCGAGGGAGATGAAACGGTCGTAACCGTCTATCACCGACCTTTTTTGTTGCAAGATTTACGAGAAGCAAGAAGCTTAGATTGTTTCTTTTCAACTTCTTGCGACCAGCTCCAATTAAAAGCACAAAAATATAAATAGACGACGCCTGTGGATGAAAGCGAATAGAAAGAAGGGAGAGAGAAGTGCATGTGACGGAATTAAAAAGACCTGGCTCCTCTTGGCTCCTCCTCCTCATAACAGGAAACGGCATCTTATTCTTTCTGCTCGGCTGGGAACAAAGAAGTGAACTGGGATTTTTTTCCTTCCTTTTCCTTTCCATCACTCCCTTTTCCCACACCATCCCCCTTCTTTGCCCTTTAACTCGCATGCGATTCGGGAGCCATTTCCTGGAAAATTTCCTTCCCACAGTCTCTGCCGAAGAATTTGCGGTCTTGGGAGGGAATTTCTTGAGGGTCGGGAGTGAATATCCACAAGGATATTCACTCATGATTCCATCATCATTTCTTCTCATGGGAAACTTTTTTTTTATTAAGCGTTTTGAAGCGGTGAACTCCAAATATTACTCTCGACGTCCTCCTTTTTTTTTTTCCTACACTTAAAAATAAAAAACACTCTCACGATCTCACCTAATTACCAAGAAGAGAATTAGATCCGTCTTATCCGCTTGTTTTTTCCTGGATTGCGAGAAAAGACAAAGTACGGTCAAGATCGATCGAAAGACAGAGTTCCATTAGCCGGAGGAAGAAGCGTGTGTGACCTTTGACCTTGTGGGCGTGTAATTCCCCGTTTCCGCAATTTCAACTGGAAAATTGAGAGAAACTCTGCGTCGAACCATTTCCGTTCTTTCCCACACCGTACCGGGGTCCATTTAAATGCCGGCTTCCATTCATGCCTTCATTCATCACGGGCCGTTCCCCCAGCAAGAAACAGGAACTAAACTCGCCACCGTCTTCCACGGATTCGGTCGCATTTGGGCCGATGCCTGTCATCGTGGACGTCAAACCACTTGTGAAATGCCTGGTGTTTGCACAAAAGCGTTTCGTGCATTTTTCGCGTTAAAAGGAAGAAACCTACTTGAAAGCAAAACCCAGAATCTCTCGATTCTTCATATGATAATAAGGACGACCAGTACAAAAAAAAATTGAGCAAAAAAATACATATAATGCTTAGTATAGAAATAAGGAATTCCCTCCCGGGTCATGCCATGGTATGAGGTTGAGCTCTATTTGAGGCGAGGAATTGCCAGATGTCAATGCACTAGTGACGGGTTTCATTCTTCCTTGTTTTACCTCGCATTACATGCCATTACAGCGAAGGCGTTCAACCCTCGTTTGCTCTGATAATCACGAGACACGAGGACCCGAGCCAGTCTCAAACCGAGAGGTGGGAGGATGGACAAAAAAAAGGGAGAAAGAATGGCTTATTAGGTCAGCATTCCTGCCTTTCTTCGTGTCTCTCGTGAGGCTCTTGCAGCGGAGAAGGCAATGACCTTGGAGGCTGAGAACAATTTCTTCCATGTACCGTTCTTGGAACGAGGTCGGGAAGGTAGGCATCTATCGGGTGGGTATGGGACAATGTAGTGCAGATTACCTGTGTTTCTTCTAAAAACAGACCCCCTCCCATGTAACGACGGAACCCGGCCAAGATCTCCCGCCTCTCTTCCGAGGCAGAATTTCAGAATTTCCCCGATGCGTCATCGGGAAGATCCTAAGAGACCATGAGTTGAAGAATCTCTCGCATCCAGGAAGCGCGGCTGGGAAAAGGATGACACCAAGAAAATTACGCTGAGCGAGGAACTCGATGACGTCATCGGCGTCGCATCCTTCTGGTGGGCGTCCCGATTAGGGAATGGGAGCCCCGACGGCCGCAACGTCTCGCAGATGACAGTTGAGAAACACCAAGACGTTCGAGGCAGGAATGAGGGAACGGAGAGGATATTTTCCCGAGTTTTAGAAGAAAGCTGTCCCCATGTTAAAGGTAACTTTGAACTCCAACAAACCATATGAGCTCCTTGTACCTGTCGTTCTGCAGTGTTGCTCTCTCTAACGAACGCTTGGACGAGAACTACCTCTACGGATCACGACCCCTGAGGATATCTGATGGGGAACACAAGGAAGCCATGATACCAGAGTCCGCAATGATTTCCTCCTTTTTAATGACGTCTTGTTTCATCAGATTTCATCTGACAAGACGATAGGGTGAGGGAAGCCAAGAGGGTCATGCTCACACGACCATGGTTCCTTGTGGAACGACCCTGCCGCTCACGCATCCATCCCCGAGCACCTAATGCGGCAGGAGCGCCTTGAGTCCCTCGGGAGCGGTCGCTGTTGGTCGGGCGAGAGAGCGGGTCGCAGGTGAACGTGCTTCTTCCATCCTTGAATTCTTCCATTCTCACGGAGGTTCGGGTTCAATGGGATTTCATGGCTCATCCCTGACCGATTCAGACGATAAGGGGTGTGATGACGAATTTGCGCCTAGGGGAATTGACCTCTAATGTCTAGGTACGCTATGATCGTCTCGAGCCTCACTGGAGATGCGTGCGGGTGGATTGCCTCGGGAGTGAGCCATCCGCTAGAACTGCATCCGAGTGGCTTCGCGAATGAGCCATCCACTGGAACTGCATCCGAGAAGACCAAGTGTGTAGCGAACAGAACGAAACCTTGTTAACTAGTCCACGATGATAATCTCGTGTTAAGGGAACTATGCCTTTTGGGGATGGTGCACATCTCGCCGCCATAAAATACGATGGGACACACTGTATACCCATCAGCAGTACTCATCTGGCTCACACTAGGCCGACCGGTAATATACAGCTCTATTTTCGTCCGTCGCTGCTCGCAGAACCGTGGCGAGGACTTAACGATTTGGTCTCCCTTGTCTACTATTCCCTTCCCTCGGATAGAGGGGAGTTCATCTATCTCGATTTCTCAAAGGGATCTCACAACAAGGCAGTTCATCTATCACCTAGCGCAACCTCCGTCCATTGATCTTGCATACGGGACTGACAAAGAACTTGTCACCTTTCGAACAAGGATTTCTCCTCATGTTGTCTCAAGGGAGGCGATGAGCCGTACGGAACTCACTTTTCGCGATATCATTGGGAAAAATGAGCAGAAAGCCATCTGGCTCTGGACAGCTCGTCAAAACGTGTAGAAACCAAAATGTCAAGATGATAAGCACCAGGCAAAAAGCGATACATAATTCAGATCGATAAAACCTAATTTCATGACGGAAAATCTCTTGGAAATGGGCTAAAATGCGAATTACGAAAATGGAAGCATGAGGAGGAAAAAAATAGAATCGTATAATTTAAAGTACATTCTGAAATTTAATTTGAAATGTGTCGATAAATCAAAGCATGGATTTGGCTTTCCAAAAATCCAAATCAGGCATTTCGTTAGCTGACACGATTCAAATTATATCTCGAGATGCAGTTTAAATAAACTTGAATTATTCGACATTGAAAATTTTAGCTCTGCAATTACTTTAGCCTGACGTCGTCACGGTGTGATCACGGTATTTAGCTATCGTTATGACACACCTTATTCACCTGAAGAGGTCGGGCTCGAATCGTCAGAAAGAGAACCCGAAATCCTAAGTCAGATGAGGCGAAAGTTTATCTGTTCCTCTGAGTCAAAACGAAAGAGGTAGCCCTTTTACCCTTTGGGATGGATCTAAAAATGGTCTACAATTTATCGGTAGCCATGAAGTTTGGTGAAGACAGCCATAATAGTTGGTATGGTAACAAGACAAAATTGTTCGAAAATGTTATTCTAGTGTTAAGCCATAGTCTTGGTAGAGTCAATATTTGGTAGGTAAGATAATCATCGTGGACTAGTTAACAAGGTTTCGTTCTGTATCAGGAATTCTCGGGAAAAACGGGAAATTGAGATGAAATTTGCCACAGACGTCGCACTAGGACCGATTACAGCCAATTTCGAGTTTCTATTGAAACTCTCATTTCATAATTGAAACGCTCAATGCCAAGTAAACGCTAAAGTGGGACGAAACTCAGTGCATCCAAGAAGTTCGTGTGACGTAAGCAGGAGGATGGATGATTGCCTGCTTCGAGAATGCTTCCCGTTTCCGATGAGAAACGGATCTCCTTCCCCCAGAAGGCTGAGCCCCTGCTCAGATGATTTATTTCCGTTACCTTTTTTTGTCTGCACCACTTGGTGCCAACAAATAAATTATTCGATGAATGAGCCAACACCCTGTATTAATCATGTCAGTTCACGTGACCTGATCTCCAAGGCAATAATATAATCTGTATTCAGCAGACCTCGAACGGAAATAATGAAAAAGCTAACCCCCCTAAATCTGTCCAGTGCGTCAGAATAAAATTAAGTGCGAAAGACAATCAAGTGATATTGAGGCAGCGAAGGCTCTTGGCTGGAAGCATAGATTGGAACTGGAAGGAGTTCTCCCTCGGACTGGGAGGGGGTGACGCTGATCCGGGACCCTGAGAGGACTCCCAAGGAGTAGCTTTCCCCTTCGAGATCCCCAGGAACTCCTCGTGCGACAAACCCATCATTTTCAGCCCGTGCAGAACCAGAGCCTCGAGTTCGAAGAGGTGATCGTCTCGGTCCTCGGGGATCACCTCCCTCAGAAAGTGCGCCAGGCGAAGGACGTACTCCGCATTGTGGCCCGAAGGCCCCCGAGCGGTGAGGATCTGGTCGGCCACATCCCGGGGAGAGGCAGGTCCCAGCCAGCCAGGAGAACCCGGGACGGACAGAAAAACAAGGACGGGGAACTCCACTCCCTCGTCTCGACTTCGGAAGAGAGTCAGCTCGGAACGGTATCCTCCCAGTACCACTTCCCTATGATTCAGGTATTCCAGGGCATCTTCGTTTATGAGCTCATACGCCTGTCCCCACACCATACCCTGGAAAATACAATGGTGAAGTTGTCCATGACCGAAATAGAACCGAATGAAAACAAAGAGTAGTCGATCCCGCTACCAGCCTAGGATCGGCTACGCTTTGGTTTGCATTTCGATTCAAGTAGCTTACAAATCCAAGACATTCTAATGAGAATCGATTCGAATGCAGCTGAAGAGGAGATGCAAACCTTAGCCTAAGGCCCCTTGAGACACAAGCCAGAACTTCCTGTCTCGATAAGTACCAACTAAATCCCTTCCCTTACCGAAATAATGGAATAACTTCTTTAAGAATGGCAGGAAGAGAGTTACACGCAGAAAATTTTCAGACAAAGATAGGCGCCGACGAAGTCCTGGGAATATTTCCATACGATGTACAGAGTGGGGGAATCCCCTATTCGCGTAATGTAGATTAGAAGTGTCACTCACTGGATGTAAATAGTGGCTGTACTGGCTCTAGGGGGATAATTCAGCCTACTTCGCAAACTTCTCCCTCAAGAAGTTCATTTCGGCACAAAAGATTTCATTGGCCTTGAAGGTGATGAATGAGCAGAGAGAAGTTGAAAGCTGTACATCGTTGGCGCCATGTGGTGTCAGTGGGAAGGACTGCAGCATTTGATGATACGTAACTAAATAAATGTAATGTCATGTGATTGTCATAACATGGTAGGAGTTCAGCTTAAGAATGTCTACTTCCCGGGGAGGGGGGTCGGACGTGCGCCATCAATTCTCACCCTGGACTACGTTCAAACCCAAAAGGTCTATCCAGGAACGAAGTCCTTCAAGCCATATAACGTATCCATAGGTCTAGACTCTCAGATCCCGACGAAGACCCTGAGACGTCAGTGCAAGATGGTAGGGGATCATAACTGTAAATATCTCCTGTCGATGATTTCACCCGATTCTCGGAAGAGAACCTTCCCGAGGCCTCGCATTGGTTCTCGCCATGGTTTCGCACAGGCATTGGGGAACAGGCGCAAAAAAAAGCTCGTGGGGAGGGGGGGGGGGGGGGGGGGGAAATTACGACCCCCCATTATTTTAGGGAAGGTCGCCCGGTACGAGACGATCGACTCGCCACCGGCCTTGCCTCCACTCCTTTCACGGCTACAAATCGCGGATGAAAGAAAATAGACGTTCCCAGGGGGGGGGGGTATCGATTTCTCGGAGAGACAACCAGCGACAGCTACGAGAACTAATGGATCTGCTGTCTACGAGGAAAGAAAGGCTTCCAGGGTCCAAACGCACCCCGAGACGTTCTAATATGTACACTACATGCGCGCACAGTATAAACAGAAGAATGCGGAGATGGGAAATAGACTTGAAGTGCAGCGACCCGACACTCGAGGTGAAAACTCTGCCTGGCACTGTTCCCGCAATGGAGACATCCGATAAGGGCGATTTCAGAGAACTGCGTTCCAACTACTCTTTGGCGGTTTTCCCTAAAAAAAAAATAAAAATTGGCGAAGGAGATGATTATCTTCCTTCCGGATTCCAAACGACCGGTTAGGGTTCAAGAGAGTTGTTGCGAATGAACTGTACTATCTAGGTCATTGCGTTGTGGAAGAATTGACTAGAGTTTCCCAAGTTTGCACGATAAGAAAGTAAAATAAGCTAGTAATAAATGCAGAGAGACGCCGCAGAATAATAGACCCCGTCTGCTGACATTGACCAGATCTCGAGCCGTCGCTGACCCTGGGGAGACGCCTTGTCTCCCCAGGGACGCTCGGTGCTTGCCAACCAATTGTGTAATCAAGCTTTTGCAGTTTGTCATCGGGAATAATGATAATACTTGTTCATGTTATGACTCTTCCGGAAGATAAACTGCATAAGCTTGGTTGTGCAACGACTTATCCGGCATCGAATGGGTATAGGGAAAATCCTGAGGTCATCAAGTCCTTTTCTACTTCAATGACCTAAAAAAAAATGGAATTCGTGACAGCTATCATGAACTCTGAAAGTGGTCTCTCCATTCCAGAGGATTCCACTTCGGAGAAGAAAAAAAAGAAGAAAAAAAAAGAAACTGGTTTCTACTCTTCTTCCTGGAAATTCCGATGACGAGTCGGAATAAGAATAACTTCACAGGGATGCCATAGTCAGGTTTTCAGATTATAAGGTGAAGGTACCTTTCCCAAAGGGTAATCATGAGAATAAAATAAAAAGCACGAGAGAAATCCCTATAGAGAAAAAAATTGCATATAAATTACACTTCCGTCTTCCGCCGTACTTCATGACCCCTATCACCAATTGATCAGCTGTCAATCACGTCTCCCTAAGGGCCGGATCACCGCGGTCATCAGACCGGGTGAAAGGGGCTTGCCCACAGAATCGGAGTTAAAGGCAGTCGAGGGAATTCCCTCCGAATTCACGAGGAAGGGCTTCCCCTTTCACTGGTCCTCCCTCGCTTCTCTGTGATGAAATGACTGACGCAAAGAGAAAAGGAATGGAGTCACTTTTCCTTTCGTCGATAGGACGGTCCCGCGTCGGGTGAATTTTAGCCGATAATTTTGCGAGACGAGATTAGACGAAGTCACACATAAATCGTAATATATATTTTTAAAATATATGAAACTTTCTACCCCGTGGCAGCGAGCACAAGTCTAGGAGGGAGAAAGGACGACCCTGGGACTCATAAACCGCATGCACTATTATAAAGAATAGGCTGTCGATGATACCCAAAGAAAGTAAAGGAACAAAAGACTCACGTCCGCATCTTCCACCAATGTGACCACTCTCCCCGGCTGAAATGCAAGAAAATCCTCGTGCACGACCCAAAAATGCCACGGTTGCTAAGCTCATAAGACAGGATGGAGAAGGAACCTTTCCCGGCGATCCTCGATGCGTCGTGTTCCCTTGCCAAAACCGTCGAGAGAATCCCCGCACGTGACCCACTTTGGCCTGGGCGAACTGAAAGCCAGGTCGCCAGCACAGGGATCCATACCCGAACACCCAGAGTGATTGAGGCTTCTTACTCATCACGAATCCTTCACTTCTGCTCTCATGCCGAAGTCGGAAGAACGAGGAAGGAGGAAGCACCAAAGCAGATGAAGGATAGAAAGTCTGTTCGTGCCAGTCACCGCCTTGATGTTGCTCGGCTGCGGCAAGGGCGAAGAGACACACAATGACGTCACTCCCCGCCAATGGCCCAGCAACGCTGCGATTGGTCCCACCCAACTGCGTCGTCTGCTAGGGGGCAAGCGCGTCGTCTGCTGAGCATGATGCAACTTCCCTTTCCCATGACGTCGATATCCTTGAGCCCCGAGCGCGTGTTTATGGGGGGATTCGCCAATAAATCACTCCTCTTTGATGCATATGCTTATGCACACTTCTACATGCATTACTGACTTGGCAGATCCACCTTGGAAGGGAAACGGATGTTTGTCGTCTTACACTTAATTGGGACGAGATTCGATAACGATCTTGACCCGCGTCATTGTTTTAGTTCCCCCTCTGTTAGGCTCGTGCAATTCACCCGGGCGTAAAAATTCTGCTCCCAACTCCTTCGATGAGAGGGAAACCGACCTTGAAGCCTCTTGAAGAAAAAAGCCTGAATGGATTCGACAGAACCTGAGGAGGCCGTGTGAAGGAACGGACGCCGTGGAATGCGACCCGTCTCGTGTGTATATACCCATTGTTTGGAAATTCACTCCGGTTGTGGCATTCATCTCGAGCGGATATGGGATGATTGAGTCGTTTCTTATGATCCCCCCCCATAAATCTGTCCCAAGGAGGCTAATGAGGGTTCTCATCGCTTTTTCCTTTTTGTCAGGCAGGCGCCGGAGTTCGTCTCCGGGGAAAATTTTCGCCGGGGGCGAATTTCTTCTGACCGGGGGCAAACTCCGATTGTCTCCGAAGCGATTCGATATGACTAAACACGATGGACGTGACGAAGTCTTTTTTTTTATCACTTTTTTTCCTTGCACCGTCGACAGAGGGGAACGTCGAGGGTGAAATACCTGGAGTGCTGCTGTCGCAGCAATGCGCACAAAGAGTAACGGGTCATTAGCATACAATGCAGTTCAATATGTGTGCAAGGAAAGAGAATGGACTCGGTCCGCACCTTTTTTCTCTTCTGCGAACGCCATTGTGTGCCCACTTCGTTCATCCCGAGCTTTCTTTGAACCTTTTTTTTCTCTCTCGAGCGAGTCCCTCCGAGGAGCGCTTTTAAAAACCCTGGCTTGTTTTCGTCTCGTCTGAGACATAACCCCTTTTTTTCGGCAGTCACCGTGCGTCCCTCTCACGTGGGAAAATCGGCCGGATCTCATGCCCGAGGGCACCAAGAGAGAGAGAGAGCGAGAGGAGAGAGAGAGAGAGAGAGAGAGCGAAGCGGCTTCATCGACAGCTGCTGTTCTTGTCTTCTGTCCTCCACTCACTCCTTCCCCATCTGGCCTGCCCTGGGAACGTCTATTTTCTTTCATCCGCGATTTGTAGCCGTGAAAGGAGTGGAGGCAAGGCCGGTGGCGAGTCGATCGTCTCGTACCGGGCGACCTTCCCTAAAATAATGGGGGGTCCAGGACGGACGTCGAGAATAAACAGGGATGAAAAGATGCCCGGTGTTCGAGGGACAGCTATAATAAATATGATAAATGATAATAATAATAATGGAATGGAAACGTGTCGAGCGCCCACCACTCTGTTGCTCTGCCTCTGTTTATCTTTAATTCGTATTAAGATTAATTTGTTGCTGGAGTTTCTCGGAATGGTTTCGCTGCTTCGAACGTTCGTTGAGTGAGTTTGTTCTCTCGTCGCATGGATTCGTCCCGGCGCTTCCATCAGACTGCCACGGTTTGCTTCCCTGCTTAATGATCCCTCGCCGAATGTGTTGTTACCCCCTCGTGTCGGCCAGACTTGTTTGTACCGGGGAAGTTCCGCAATCCCGGCTCGGTATGACCGACGGGCCGTGAGTGTTTGGCACGGTCGAAAGACGCCAAAATGCCGTCATTCGTATAACGAGATACGTTGGGGCACGTCACACCATCTGCGCGTTTCTGAGCCGGGCTGCCTTGGAAAGGAGCCGAAAGAAAAAAAAAAATCTCCAAAGCAGATACAGGTAGGCATATTCCGAGGGGAAACGGCGCAGATGACAGGCTGACCCTGATAAAATCCCTCTCTCATCTGCTTCTCAGTCGGACCGGCTTGGAAATCAACGAGGCACCACCTCGGCCCCCCCTCACCCCCCACACCCCCCAACCCCCCCTTCGGACCCGGTTCCCTCTTCGCTGTGAGCTTAGGAGGGAAAGGAAAAGAAACATCTGGTCTGGCTCCATTACAAAGGACTTCATCCTCCATTGGGAACCCCGATTACATAATTAGAATCCTCCCCTTACGGTGGAGGAGAAACAAGCCGAAAGACGAGTTCGTTTTCCTTGGGAAAAAAAAGGCCATTTGCAGTCCCGTCCGGTCGGCTTACCAGCCAATTAGTCTCACGGTAACAAGGAAACTGCGAAAATATCGTTCCCAATGTTTCGGCTTGCACATGCGCGAACGTGCGAACCCGAATCGGGAAAAAAATCCCTCGATCGCCACCGATGCACGAGGAAGACCCGATCCCGTGGGAATTCCCGGCTCGAGGTCCATTCTCGAGAACAGGCTACGTGACGAGGAAACAGGCCTTCGTGACGAGGGAGCGGGCCTTCGCCGACGAGATTCCTGTTGAAAAAGAAGTCGGGGGATCCCGGCTGGAACGGGGGGCTTCCTCGCTTTCTCAAGGATATATTATCCGTGTGTTTTTTCCCACGCGCCTCGACAGGAGAAATTCTCAGGATCTGGTCATTTTTACCGCAATTTTCGGGGCATTTATCGGCGTAGGGAGACAGAGAGAGAGAGAGAGAGAGAGAGAGAGAGAGAGTTCATCTACCGAGAGGGACGAGAAAATGGCCGGAAACGATCCTGACTGAGCGTGACGAGTTCCCTTCTCTCTCCCCCCTCTCTTTTTTTTTTCTTCCTCGTTTTCTTGCCTTAGTCTTTTCATTCATCTCTACCCCTTTTTCCCAGGGGGGGTTCGGAACATGAAAAAGGCGGTGTTCAGGGGGAGAAAAATATCAACTATAATCTTTTCTTTATTGACAAGAACACTGTCCTTTTTGACTCATGCACCTCTTGCACAATCACCTCTCTTCCATATACACTGTACACAACTTTCGGGGGTGGAAACAGGACCAAAAAAATTCAGGATCAAACACGAAGCGTCGTGGAGACAGGATTCGACTATAAATAGTACGAAAGCTCTTGTTCCCTCTCTCTCTCTCCGCGGAGAGAGAGAGAGAGAGAAGACGAAAGCATGCAGAACAGGTCCTCTGCGCGGGGGAGAAAAAAAAAAAGAAAAAAAAAGGAAAAAGTGGCCGGTATTGTTCGGCATGACTTCACCCTGGGATCGAGATCGAGATCCTCCGCATGCTTTCGCCTTCGCGTTCTCCATTTTTTTTTCTAAATTTCTTTCATAAATAACACAGACACAGGCAACAATGAGGGAGAGATCAATTGGCATGAGAAAGAATCTGCCGATTATCACAACGAAGCGGATAAAAAAAAAAACAACTCCCGAACGACCATCACCTTTCCGGCCGTTTCGTACGGGGGGAAAGGTCGTCGATCGGGATCACTAGACTTCCGTGGCGAGAAGTCCATCCTCACTGAACGAAGACGCGCGCGCGTAGTCGTAGAGTGAGGGAGGCGGAGGATCACTGATGACGTAGACGCCCGGGATGGACGGGCACGGGGGGCCCGGGGGGCACGGGGGACTAGGTGACGGGGATCGCCGAGACTCTCCTGACGACTTCCAGCCCAGCGTGCTCTCACTGCAACACGAACAACCCACAAAACATGCATTGGTAAGGATCCAAAAAAAAACCACACGAACGCGGTTGGCATTCCATTCACAGAACGAAAAAGAGGGGGCCATGTGAGGGAATTCGGAAAATGCCACCGAAACACCGCCCCGTGACCCAAGACGACCAAAACATTACCCCCGAGACCCAAGGCGACTGATTAATCCTTGCCCCCGTGACCCAACCAACCCGTTCCCACAAAAAAATTTGAGAACGATTTACTCTGACCAAAATTAGCATTTTTATAGATGACCCCCACCCATCAACTCCTTTCACTCCCTTCTCGACCGACAGACGAATGCCCTTCGCCCCGTTTCCCTGCATTTCCTCTCCCCACCCAACCCGCACCGCACCAAAAAAAAAAACACAACCCCAAGTCAACTGAACCACACCGAAAGCATCGAAAATGCGCCCTCGACCGCTAACGAACCAAGCTTCGGCCATGCAGGAACCTCATGACGCCAAATTGGAGTCGATATAAATCGCCAAGGCACACGTGCCTCATTTGGCATGGAGCAGAGGCTATCAATGCGACTCTCAACGCTAATAACCTATCCGCACTCCTCAACAGCTTGGCCTCGCCAGAGACGAGGCGGAGAGAGGGAAAAAAAACTGTCCGAGGCCCTTCCTTTCGAGGATCGTGGATTCCTCAAGGCGCAATTAGGTTCAACTGACATGTGCGACTCGTTCCAAGCTCGGTTGCAATCCATCCAAAAATACACTTCGGTACGGCACCGAGACCCGTCCCTGCGACGATCGAGTCCCACCACCTGTCTGCGTGTGGAAGGAGCCGATAAAGTGACGTCACAGCTACGATGCCATAATGTCTAAATGCTCCACGTAATCGCTCCCACAGGCCACATCGACCCACGGGGGAAAAAAAGAGACCGAGACCAAAAAAGCCCTTTCTCAGGCTCTCAACTTCTGAATTTTCATCTCCACAGATCAAGTACCAAGACGCCAAGTACAACCCCTATTTCGACGGCCCACTTAGCATGCGCCCAATTCATTACAGCCACGCGGAAGCAGTCAGCATGTAGGGCAAAACTACTTCACCGCTGACCGAAATGAACAGCATTCGACCAATTAACATACAGGCAAGAATCAGCGGAAACTCCGGCATGGTAAACGGGAAACAGCTACTGAGAACCCAGAGATCCGAGACTCGCGAGTCAAATCGAGTCAAGCCGGATGGCGAAAGCATTCCCTCCCCTCCCCCCCCCCACCACCCCCCTCCTATTCACACTGCATTGAAAGCTGCGAGATGGATGTCGCGAGCTTCTTGGAAGTTCTCTCCCTCCATTGCTTGGTTGCGTCGCCTTGTATTCATGGCGTCGGACGAGCAAAGCCAGCATATTCACCTCGTGTTTACGTACGTCTCTGAATCCCTTGCTTATAAATTTCCCCCCCTCGAAACGTTCCCAGCCGAAAAGAGGGTATTCCTTATCTCCTTTTGAGTTCTACCCCTGCCTGTGCCTGCCACCGCCAACTAGTGCGTGCCCCACGTGAAAAGGCGCACAATGGCAGAGGCAGAAGGGTCGGGAAATGGTGAGAACGCCGAGGCTCGAAAAGGATGAAATATGGGTCATTCACGACGGCCTCGAGTCATTATCGAGCCTACCCTCCCCTGCCCCTCAATGGCCCCCTCTTCTCCCGCTCGAAAGAAAGAAAAAGAACCCCAAGGCTCACCTGGTGCTACAGTGAACCGATGACGAGGACGAGGACGACGACGACGACGGATGGAAGGTGCCTCCACAGGTGCCACCGCCACCCAGGGGTGTCCCTGCACCACCCCCACTAAACGACCTGGACGTGGACATGGACACGGCGTAGACGTGCTCCAGGTCCTTCTCCAGTTTCTCGCTCAACACGGACGCCCTGCCGAACCGATCCGAGCCCGGCACGGAAAGCGTCTCGGACGCGGGACAGGACGTGTTCATCTGTTTGTAGGATTTCCTCATCCGTTTCTGCAGGATCTCGTAACTCGGTTCACTCGACACGGTCGTGTTCACGCACTTGCTCCCGCTCTCACTCGACGGGTAGTCCAGGTCGTTCACGATCATGTCGAACTTGGGATGATGGTGATGGTGATTGTTGTTATTGTTGTGGTGTTGCAGGATGAGGTTCTTGGACCTCGCATTGGCTTCGTTCTGCTGCCTCGCCTCCTCGTCCGCTCGGGCCTTCTCGCGTCGCCGTCGGTGCTTCAGGCACCACACGGCACACGTCGCCAACACCACCAACAGCGGCACCGACACGCTCACCGTTGCTATGGCAACCACCTGTCCCATGCTCAGTCCCCCGTCGTCCTCCAGGCGTAAGGGGTCCGGGGACTCGCATTCCCTCCCCGTGACCCCCTCGGGACAGATGCAATAAAATCCAGGGGCCACCAGAGAATTCCTACAGGTCCCCCCATTCTGACACGGATTCAGTTGACACGTGGCGTCCACATAGACCTGACACGTGGCCCCCATGTACCCCGGCGGGCAGAGGCATTCGAACCCATTGGGTCGATCCAAGCAAGTCCCCGCATTCGCACACGGCCTCGTCGCACAGTCATCCACATCCGTCTCGCACTGTGAACCGACGAACCCCGGCGGACAGAGGCACTTGAACTCCTCCGGTCCCCCCAGACTCACGTTGATCCTGGTGCATGTCCCCCCGTGCTGGCACGGGGATGGTTCGCTTTCGCATACGTCTACTCGCTCCTCGCACTTGGCTCCGCGGAAACCTCGGGGACAACTGCATTGGAACTCCGATCCCACTCCGTACCACTTGCATTTCCCACCTAGAAGCAAAAAAGAAAAAGTAAGAATACCTGCAGGTGGAAGGAAAGTCTGAAGGAACGGAAGAGGATTTTTTCTAGCGCTTTTATCTGCCCGTCTCTCAGATGAATACCAGTATGTAAATGACCATGAGCAAGTGGCCATAAAGTTCTTGAGATTAAACTGATAAAAGGAAAGAGGGAGCTCATAAGCGGAGGAATTTTTCGATCACAGAAGAAGGACAGGACGTTAACCGAGCAGTCCGGTGGGTTTCTTTCTTTCTCGAGTCTCCCATCATGATAGAGATCGCGAGTAGGACGAGATTGAGCCGTAAACGTCCGTGATATGCTAAGAGAAAGACCCACACGTACCGTTGAGACAAGGCTGAGACGAGCAGGGATCCCTCGGAGTTTCGCAATGGCTCCCAGAGTAGCCATATGGACACCGGCATCGATACCCCACCGACGGGTCATCCAGACACGTGGCTCCATTCCGACACGGGAAATCCGCACAAGAACCCGCCGTCAGCTCGCAGTTTTGCCCATGCCATCCCTGCTTGCAGCTGCACGTATACTTCGAACCCATGACCTACGCACGAAAAACCACGTTCTATGAACCCCCGAATCATCCGATATCGAGCCTCTCTCGACGAACGGCAGGGACTGACCAGGCAAATGCCTCCGTGACGACAGGGATTGGTGTGGCATTCGTCCATTTCCCTCTCGCAATCTTTGCCCGTGAAGCCCGCAGTGCAGTTGCATTCGTAGCTCCCTTCCCCGGTGTTGAAACAGATCCCTCCGTTTCGACACGGGTGATGGTTCGTACAATAGTTGAGGTCTGAAAACGAGAGGAAGAGACTGAGATAAGGAAAAAAAAATCATTTCATTCGTCCAACTCCGATCCATCGATCACAGGATACCCAGTAATGAACCACGCCTGCAAGAGATGAAGAGATTGGAGTCTTTGGGCTGGGTCCGTATGCAGGACACGCCGTGATTTGTCTCTTGTGGAGACTCTTTCATGATTTATGAACCGAGTCCAGGGAGGAATATTGACAAGGCCGGACGAGACCTGGCAAAAAGGTGTCGTCCTTCCCAGCCCTATTCAGCCCAGCCCAGCCCAGGACCAATCATTCATGCAGAATGCATGAACCCGGATTGGGTCGAGGGATCGATTGATCGCAGTTGGAGATAACGCACCAGGCGTGATTGCATCTCATTAAGGAAAGTGCGCAGGCAAAAGGCGAAAGGCATCATTAACGTCAACACCCGGACTGGAAATTCCGAGAAAAGGGAATTCCCGGCCGGGAGATTCATCAATCTCTCCTCCGTCTTCCTCACCTTGGTCGCAGAACACTCCTCCCCATCCCTCGTCGCATTCGCACTGCCCCGGTTCTCGGCAGCTCCCGTGCTTGCATCCTGGATATGGGATGCACTGGTCGCAGAAAGGCCCCTGCCAGCTCGACTGACATCTGCACCGAACATCAACATTCGTGTCAACGAAAACCCGGGAGAAGGGAAAACAGGTGAGAGGAGCAGATGGGAAAGACGAAGGAAGAAGACATAAAGGCAAAAAAGCAGCTCTGTTGTGACGCCAGCCGGCAGCGGAACATGGAAAACTCATAACATTGACCATTACTGTTACTTCCCCGCCGGGATTTCGTAAAGAGGAGAGGAGACAGACGGACACTCACTTGCACTCGTTGGGCTCGGTGCAACTCCCGTGTACTGGATGACATCCGGCTCGGCATATGGCTGTAAACGAGACACGCAACAATGCATCTCAGTCTCTGTCTCACAGTATCTCATACTGTAGATCCATCTTATGAGTTACGACCTGGACCTTCTGTCTGTCAGATACAGTCCAGTGCATCTCGAGAATCCATTCCCTTCCCTTCTCTCCCCCCCCCCCTCCTGTTTTTTCTTTTGCTTTTTTTTTACCTCGGGAATCAAGCCAGAGCAACCTCTACGAGTCCGGTCGGACGGAAAAAAAAAATCAGATTAACTTGATAGCGGAGCATGGGAAAGACAAGGTACTGCATAACACCGTATAAGCAGAGAATAAGACAAAGCAATGGCTATCGAAAGCAGCCTCGCCCCCCATCACGGTTGTCGTCGCGCCCTAGTCCAACGTCCATCCCATCCCT